TGAATAGAAACAGACTTATAAATGCCTGAGTTGATAGAATTAGCAAATAAGAACTGATTGCCACAGAATCCACAGGGCACTTGCATAATAGCCAGGCATTAAAGTTGAAACAACTGCAAACTTCACAGTCCACTTAAGTAGCTGCCTGTAGGGAGACCCAGAGAAGCTGCCTATAGTGACAAAAATAGACACTAAAAAGATTAGGTCATATACCACAACTATACCACATAGTAAGCACAGCCTAACTTTTCACCAAAGGAATATGAATCTTCACCCTAGAAGTCCCCCTTCTAGTCCCCTAGAAGTTCCTTATACCCAATAAAACATCGTGTCAAGGTATCAGCAAAATGTAACAAAGGATGCTAAATCCACAGTCTGAAGATATAAAGCAATAAACAGAACTAATTGCAAATAAAATAAAAATTTTGGAATAATCAACTGAAAATTAAAAATTAAATTAGTAGATATAGTAATTTAAAATCACCTTGGTTAATATGTAAAAAGCTGTAATGAAAAGAGTGAACAGGGCCCAAGGAGATGGCTCAGTGGAATAAGTGCTTCCCTGGCAAGTGCAAGGGCCTGAGTTCAATCCCCAGTTCCACATTAAAAAAAAAGAAAAGAAAAGAGAAAAGAAGAGTGAACATGCAAAAACTGATAGACAATGCAAACACAAAGACAAAAACCATAAGAAGGATCAAAAGGAAATCCTAGAAATAAAATACAATGGAATATCAGTGAAGACTACCAGAGGTGTGCTCAGCAGTACATGGAACATGGCCATGGAAGGAATGAATAATTGAAAAGTAGTATTAAGAGAATTTTTCAAATAGAAATGAAAATAAGAAAAATAATTTAGGGCCAGCCAAACAGCTTGGCAGGCTAAAATGCCTGCTTAGACAGGCGCAGGGACCGGGGCTTGATTCCTGGCATGACATACCAGCCCTGCCCCCAGGACCCCCTGAGAGGGCCACTGAGATTGGACGTTGTGGTGTGCACCTGTAATCCTAGTGCTTGCAAGGCTGAAAACAGGAGGATCACTATGAGTCTGAGATGTGTAGTGAGACCCTGTAGACCATGTACTAAATATATAGAAAAAGAAAAATAATTTGTAAAGAATAATCAAAATATATAAATGCTATGGGAATTACAAATAACGTAAAATATAATAGGAATACCATTGGTAGAAGGAAGACAAAATAAAATAATTTTTATTATGCCTAACACTTTTATGAAATTATTCACGGAAAAAGTACAGATACACAAAGCCCAAAAGAACACAAAGCAGAGTAAGTACATTTCAAAAATAATACACAACATCAAGAGAAAGAATATTTCCAGGAATAGAAAGTATTTCCTAAGTATGTAAATGTGTGTGGTGCATATCACAAATATTTAATGAAAATGAATTTGTATTTTAGGAACTGGTTTATATTAAAAATTAAAGTTTAATAATATGATCTAACACTGAAGATGTGGTCTTTATTTTTCTACTTCTACCTTCCAAATACCTGATTTCCCAATTATTTATCAATTATTGTTTATAACTATACCATAATCAATAGCGTAATAAAGAAGTTACTTTGGTTGTTAATGTCATATCTGTAAATCTAGAGGAGTTGTTATAGTATGTAGTAATGTAATAAGTATTTTCAATATCTTGCAATGTTTTGCATACAACAAAAATTCTTACTTGAAAATAATTAGCAAGCATAGATAGATAGATTGGTAGAAAAAATATAGATATATGGTTCATATTTGAATATTTACCATTGTGCTTCACATTTGTATGCTTGCAAAAGTACACTAACCATTCTCAGATAATTTCATTCAATGAAAAATGCATTAAAATTTCAATAATGCAATACATAAATGTTTTAACAGAACATTTTCACATTACCACTACAGGACCAGAAGATATTTTGTATATTTGTTTTAAGTCTATGGAATTTCAAGACAAAGAGAATAATTTAATAATCAAAAATTAATATTGATTAATTTACTAGATAATATATTCCAAAATGTATTTTATTAAATATATTATGTTTTGAAGTTTTTCCGAAGTACAATTATTTTTGACTCTTAATTTCATATTTAATTGCAAAGGTTGATTTCCAAATAAATTTAACAACAAACATGTTGAAGTAATCAGGAAATTTTACAAATGAGGATTTCTTTTACATATACAGAATATTTTCTATTTTGAAACATATTTAAACTATTATTTTTCTAACATAAATTTTCCTGTGTCAAATATTGTTAGTTTAATTATATGAATCATTGCAGATATTTACATTTTCATTTTTAAAAGTATAAATTTTATATTGTACAGTATAATTTTGTATAGATTTGAATACTTTGAGCATATATGAAATTAAGAAAATTAATACATACCAATTCAAAGGGCATATTGAACAGGTTGACTCCCATTATACTCCTATTTTTCACTCCTCAACTGAACTTGACTCCTTTTTCCTAAACATCATTAGTCCTGACACACAGGTCAGTGCAATGTCCAGAACAGTCTCTCTGAGAAACATACTGGTTTTGTTGAAGTTTCAAGTGGTTGTGTCACCTCCACTGAGTGGCTACCAAGTTAGAAGCTGCACAGAGGTTTGGAAGACTCAAAGAACATCTATGCATTATATGAAAAGCATCAGTACTACATGTTTTTATATGTATGACTTATTCTAATTGTTGAAGCAGACATGTAAACTATCTTTTTAACTTCTTTTAGATGTAAACATGGATATTCATAGAGATTATGAGTGTGTTTGTTAATGATTATTTTACTCTCAAGAAAATTGAGGTTGGAATCTGCTGTTAATTATTTCTGAAGCAGTTATCTCACCATTTACTCAAAGGTTCCTGAATTCAGAGTAGAAGCATGAAGTGAAATTGATTCAATATTTACCCTATACCTCCATTTCTCACATAAAATTCTAAAAAAAAAAAAAACAACAGTTCTATGAGATTGCAAAACACACTCAAACCTTGGATATTGAGTAAGTTTATTTGCAAATGTTCCATAAGATACAAATATTTACAAGAAGTTTTAATTAATAAGCAATGTCTTGCAATAGGATTACCATATTACTCACATGATCATCACATGATCAGAACTGGTCTGTGCCACTACTAAGATATGTAAGTGTTCTGGATTATAAGCAGAAGGGGGCCAGGGAGATGACTCAGTAGAATAAGTGCTTTTCCAGCAAGCACAAGGGCCTGAGTTCAATCCCTGGTTCCACACACACAAAAAAGAGGCTGACCTTTGGGGCTGGGGATGTGGCTCAGTGGTAGAATGCTTGCCTAACAAGCTGGAAGCCCTGGGTTCCGTCCTTGGCACAGAAAAAAAAAAAAAAAAGAACCTCCCCTAAAAAGCAATTCAACCAAAAAACAATACAGTAAAATAAAAAATGATCAAAAATAAACAAGACAACTGGATTATAAGCAAGCAGAAGGAATCATTCTCACAAAGATTTTACTATGCATATGATATTAAACCACAAGTAATTAGTTACTTATGCTTTAACATTTTAATTAGCATATTCATTTTTATTAGAGTATTTAAATTAGATTCCTGAGTACTTGCCTCAATAATTTTCTGTTTGTTTGTTATGTAAATGAATATATTTTGCTTAACGAATCCATATTTCCTGATGTCAAATATGTTAGAATAACTATTAATGTTCTTTTCAGTTGCTATCTTTCATAAGTATTTTTTAAGATAAGCATTTAATTATCTGAAAGTATTTCACTAATGAGTATTTATGTTTTGTAAGTATCACTGAGAAAGCTTAAAATAGAATAAGTTCATTAAGCCTTTAAGGTAAACCAATAGGAACTGATGTAAGGGTCTACTTGTCACTTTCTTAATAATAATTTCATCAATCAATAATTATTCATTGGACAATTATTATGAGGCCAGTATCAAATAAAAATAAAATATGATCTCTTTAATCAATGAGAAATGAATAACATGAGAAATTTAATTTAAAGATATACCCAATTTTATTTATGGAACTAAAATGAAAAGATTTAGTAGTCACCAATTTTTGGATTGCTGAGTACATTTAGTTATTAAAAAAATTATACTTTTAAGGTAGTTCTGCACTTTGGGAAATAACTGTTTATTAATATGATGTCGCATTAGATATAGACTCTACATTTAAAGATAAGATTCAACTCACTTAATGTTCAATATATGCTCTTTAGGTAGATGTGATCATAACCAGTACACTTATAAAATGGAGAGTTTTACAGTTTCCATGTCTTACAGTGTCAAAATCTGAATTTGACCACACTCCCCAGTAATTCATAGACACACTAAAAATTGATCTGGTAATTATGTCATCCTTTTAGAACTTTTGAGTATTTAGTCATAAAGATAAAATCTTTGTTTCATGAAAAAATCAAGATGTTCTGGGTTTTCCACGAAAAAAAAAGCAGATTTTCTGCTGTCTTAAATTATTTCAAACCTGTTCCTGGTAGAACCTTCACTGTGTAAAGCAAACTACCTAGGGCATTAGCAGGACAGGTTGGACTCAATTCTAATTATCCTCTTTGAACAATGGACTTTAATTATTCTTACTTTGGAAAGAAGCAGTGCAGTCTTTTCATTTATAAGAACAGCTGATTAATTAAGCAAGTAGATACTCCAGGCAATGTACTTCTGGATGTAAAATAACAGAAAGTGGAGGATATGTCTAAGGTTTAATGGCTTGTCCACCATCTTATACAACTACGCATATTGCTTTGCCATGTTCTGACTTTAATGGGCCTCATTATACCCAAGGAAATGTCAGCACATTTAAAGAAGAATTACAGCTCCAATCATTTTCAGAGTATTAGACATGTTTGTTCAAATTCCAATCAGAAAGTTCCACTATGGCCCAGCATTTGAAATCTATTTCGTAATTTACCTTACAGCAATGTTTGAATAATAAAATGGTTTTTAAAAAATTTTATGGCAACCAGTTAAAAAAACAAAAACACCTTACTTTCCAAGGGCAAAGCATTCCAGTTTTACAGATGAATCCTTTGCAGCTTGTATAGTTTCAGGAAAACGCACTTCAATCTTTGGTTCATACTCCCCCATCACACCTGTTAAATATCAAAAGAGCTAGCAGCATTTCTGAAGAATAGAATTTTTCTATGAAGTAAATGGTTCATTAACAAAAAGATTATTTGGTGTTAGTAAAAAGTTGTATTTCCAAATAAGAACCAGGAACATGCTTTTGAATTAAAAAAAAAAAAAAAAAGAAAGAAATCCTTCTCTAGCAATACATAGGCTTTCACCAGCCTCATGAGGCTAGACAGAACAGAAAGGAGGAGGCTTTCAATTACAACTAGACAAAATTCGATATGTAGCACCACAGTCCAGAATATCTATATTTCTTCAGCAAAACACATGAAGTAATTGTATAATTTGAGAATATATGTATATATATGTATATATATATACATATATATATATATATATATATATATATATATATATATATTAAGGTTTTGCTGCTTGATGTGCTGTAAATTTATAAAAAATTCTGTTTGTACAATTTTAAAATCGTCAATGAAGAATTTTGAATATAGGCTAAATTTAGATTAAGACACTATATATTGCTTTTATAATTGTACTCTCTACAAGAGGTGTTAAAGCAAACAAATAAATCTCTAGGCTATCTTCATTACCTTAATTAATTTTACCAATGACACATTTAGACTCATTAAAAATTTGATGACTTTTACAAATACACTAAATATCAAAGTGATAAATCCTTACAATAAATGGATTTTTGTCAGCTAATACAATGGCACAAAGCATGAAAAACACAATATAAATATAAAATAAAATATCTAAGAATTAATTTCTAAGAATTATTCTACACATTTGTAAGTTTGTGGTTCAGAAAATAAAGGAAACCACTGAAAAACACAGATTTTTTTTTGCTTTAGTTTTTGTTTCCTTGACATAGGTAATATTTTCTAGTCTAACTTGTTGAAGAGATTAAGTTTACTACTATTATGAAAAATACCACTGATTTTTTTTATTATACTATGAAAATACTGAAGAGAATAGAGGTGATGGAATGAAAAGAATTAAGAAGGCAATAAGAAGAAACTGTGTTAACAGAAAATAAATGAAAAAAGGCAAAGGCAGAATCTCTATGGAAATCGTTAGCTTATGAGTTCTTCCAGTTATTTATACTTCAGTTAAAAGAGAAACAAACTTAGGAATGAGTATAATGGTTGCTGAAATCTCAAATAAGACTTTGCAAATATGTTTGGTTGGTAAGTGATTATGTAGGCTCCTGTATAAGAACTCCCTCTAGGCAGCTGGTTCCATACTTCTGTAAGCCTTTATTGGCATCATATTCTTGCATGTTTTAAACTCTTTGTAGGGGAAGAGAAAAGCTCTGTGAGGTATTGTATTTTACATCCAACATCCAGTCATAAAATGCACTAAGAGATTTTCTGTCTTTACATATCCCACTGTGAACACTTAATTAAAGAATCAACTTGAGGATTTTTCCACTTCAGTGACTTTCTAGCTCTTTAAATCTTACACCAACTAGGGACATAACCAAGCTACAAGCTTCATCAGAGACCGATTTGAGTTATGCTTCTTGGAGAAGTCAAATTAGTATTAATCTTAAGTTTCATCCTTCTTTACAGTGCTTATAATTAATGTCAGTTTGTTTTGTTTTCCTTGGATATTAACATTTCCCCCATTTTGCCATCAGGTAAACAAACAAAAAGGCAAATATGGAAATGAAAAGGGTCCCTAAAGACAAATTGTAACAATGTTCATTAAAAATATATTGATACAAGTGTATAAAATTGGCAGCATCCACACATGCACACATACACACTTGCCAGCTCCCCCAAACAAACATCATTATTTACAAACTAGCCCTTGAGCATGCTATTCCAATGCCAGAAAGGATATGGCTCAGTATCCAGAATTATACATGATGTAACATGTAGGTAGATTGCAGAATTTTTTATTTTACCTTTGGTAATATGTGATTTTCATTATAGTTGTGAATTGAACCTTAAACTCAGGAGATTTGGCTTCTCTGAACAAGAAGAAAGCAGAAATCTCTGCCAATCTCCCCATGTTTTGAGAGCCACAACATAGATTTCCAAGGTAACTCATTATCTTACCATCAGTGCGCTGCACTAAAGGAGTGGGTGGACCTTGAACGCTTCTTTGAGCCTCCTTGTTTGTTACAAAGCAAGTGTAGTTGCCCACATCTGATGGCTCTACTTTAGCAATGTACAAGTTTCCTGTCTCTTGAGATACAAACCGCCTGTTGTCTTCTTGAACATATAGGGGGTTATCATTGAAGGTCCATGCATAAGATAAATCTGAAAAATAGAAAAGACATTTCTTACATTAAGAATGATATTTGTATTATTCTTTCCGAATTCATTTTTATCCAGAAATTCCATGCTTTACTTTGCCATAAATAGAATGAAAAGGATCCCCTGCTTGTATATGTAGATTCAGACCTAGTATAATACCAGTAGTGTTTTACACACACACACACACACACACACACACACACACACACACACGTATACATATGTATATTTACTTTGGAAGACATATTATGTATTTACTTATTAGTATCTTTGTGAGATTAAGGATATGATAATAGGTTGTCTAAAATGAATTTGCCAAGAAAACTTTAAGATATATAAAGTGTTAGTGGCTCAAAAATTAAAAAAATGAATTTCTTCAGAGATATTCATTTCAATACAATTTCTTAAAGTGCTGTCAGAAGGATTAATACTTAAAATTTAAATTCCAAATTTAAGTTAAAATATTCCCAAGGAACTTAGTTTGCTCTTTGAATTTTGTGTAATTTCTGATCGAACATATTGTGCGATTGTTTGAGAAGTTTAAGTGTCTAAAAAAGTAAAACTGTGTCCTATGAAGGTCAAACCAGTCACTTCTAATTGACACCAATGTGGATAATATCCCAAAAAGATGGTATTTGTGGTAACAGTAGGGTCTCCATAGAAGGAGACAGCAATGATTTGTGTTTGTAAAAGATCTATTCCATGTTATGCTTAAGATGTTTGATATTCAGAGAGATAGTGAGGTTGGACCCAACTGCATATGTTGTAAGGTAATAGTAACCTTCTCTTCTGGAGAATTAACAACCTAGGTTTGCAGACCAAGAATTGGAGAAATGCAGAGGCTACAAGGACAGCCAACATTTTGGCCCTAGCCCTTAAGGGTCAGCGAAGACTCAAGACATGGGAGAGCCTATACTGTAATATGTAACTCAGTTGTGGCCCAAATTTTCTGATCAAGGAGGTTATGGGGCCAGAGAGCAATGTGATCAATGAAGTAAAGTGTGCCTAAGAAGAGTCACATGGAAAGAAGGCATTCTCTCAGGCTTTCACAGTATACAAATTGGTCAGTCAAAGGCTGTGACTCATCTACATGGCTGACATTGAAAAAGGATGCAAACTGCAGTACATGGCTACAGGATAAATCCTGAGGGTACTTGACTGACCTTAGCAGATACAAAAGTTACATATCTTATTATATAGGTCTTGTTTTATCTTGGTCTTAACCATCAAGAAGAAAAGTATAAAAATTAGATATATAAAGTAAAGCCATATTAATATGCTGAGCTAATTTAGGCTCAAGTCAACAACTTTTCCAGATAACCCACTACTATTGTGGACTGCTGGACTGTGTTGAATTGTTTTGCTGAATTCATGCACCTATAATATTAAGATGCCAATGGAATATCCATCTCTGACAGGACTAAACAAAAAAAGGGAATACAAAGGAAGGACCATTTTGTATCTGCGTATACAGAATAGTTAGGATAGATATACAACTACTTTCACTTAATTCAATGAGAAGAAAGATTTGTACTAATAATGTTTGGACAGGATATCCTGTCTGCATCTTGTACTATGGATAACCACTAAGAAGATTACCAATGTACAATGCATCAATTATTGAAACTGTCCTATTAATCAGTTTTGAAACTGTCTCATTGCTATTTGTTTCTCAATGAAATAAAATTTAAAAAATGACGCTGCAGAAGTAATTCTAGGTTGAAATCATCAGAATGAATGAGAGCTAAACAGACAACAGGCATGCAGACAAACTTCACTTAGAGAAAATAGCAGAAAAAGATGTGAAGGTGATAGAGAAGATGGATTACTCTATTTTACAGAAAAATCAATCAATCATTCTCTGAAAATTCTGCAGCTAAATATATCTTATATATGTGAGACATAATACATAAAATAAAATACACAGATTTTAAGCATTCATTTTAATAAGATACAAAAATTATGTGCCCTTAAGGAGCTTTGCTGAACTGAACATTTATATTTCTTGAGGAACTAGCTCATGGCCCATTCTGGCCAATCCTGTATCATAGCAAGTGTCATCTGATTTCAATCATTAGATTATTTTTGCCCCTGTGTCACATGTAAATGAATCAAACTGTACATACGATTTTATATCTTCTTTGTCTGACATTTTAACCATGCAGTTCTGCTGTTGTAATTATCAGTGCTTCCTTGCTTTTCATTGTTAAATAGTATTTCATCATATGTATATATATAGTGCAAAATTTGTGTAGACACCTTTCTTCTGATAAGTAAGGAATTGTTTCCACCTTGGGGTTTTATGTCATATGCAGAAGTAACATTTATCAGAGAAAGGCATTCCATTGTCATTTAAATACTGTAGGTGCATGAATTCAGCAAAATATCACAATATAGTCCAGTAGTCCATAATAGTGGTGGGTTTTCCATAAGACTGTCAATGTCTGAAGTTGTCGACTTGAGACTTTTACAGCTCTGCATATTAATATGGCTTTACTTTCTATACTTTATTTTCATATGTCTCTGCTGGATGGTTAAGACCAAGAAAGAGCAAGACCTATATAACATGAAATGTAACTTTTGTATCTGATAAGGTCAGTCAAATCCCCTTAGGATTTACCCTGAAGTCCTGTACCGCAGTTTGTAGATCCTTTGTCAGTGTCAGCCATATGGATGAGTCATTGCCATTGCTTGACCCATTTGCTCTCTGTGAAAGCTTGGGAGAATGTTTTCCCCCCATGTGACTCTCCTTAGGCACACTCTACATCATTGATCACTTTCCTCTGTGGCCCCAAAATCTCCTTGATCAGAAAACTTGGGAAATGATGGTGTTATAGGATGTTACAGTACAGGGTCTCCTATTTCCGGAGTACTTACTGACCTTAAAAGTCTAGGGCCAAAATGTTGGCTGTCCTTGTAGCCCTTCTTTTTCTTTAATTTTTGGTCTGCAAACTTAAGTTGTTAACCCTCCAGAAGAGAAGTTTAATGATATTATTACCCTACAGCATAGGCAATTAAGCTTAACCTCAGTATCTGTCTGAATATTAAACATCTTAGACATAACACAGAATAGGTATTTTCCATCAAGTATTGATATGTTAAACTTCGAGCCCCTCCAGAATATGAAGAATTGACAAAGGTTACCAAAAAAAGGGGATACAAATGAAAGACTATTTCGTATCTGTATACTCAAAATAGGACAGATATATGGCTCCACTCTCTTAATTATATGAATAGAGAGGTTTGTTGTAATAGTGTTTGAGACAGGCTATCAGGTCTGCATCTGTATAATGAATACTAAGACAACAATGTGCAATGTATTAATTATTGAAAATGTACTAGTAATCAGTTGTGAAATTGTCTCATTGCTATTTGTTTCTCAATAAAAATATTTTTAAAAAGAAGTAACATTTATACAATATAGCATTCTCTGCATGCATTTGCATTAGTTTGGTAAATTTCTAGAAGTGGACTCTAAGGTAGATGTGCAACTACAAAATAAACAGAAGTATTGCACAAGTGCATGCCTCTACCAGCAGTGTATGAGAGTTTCAGTTTAGCATATCTTATAAATCCTATGTATTTTAAATTACCAAATATTTTTGAGCAAAAATAATGGTTCAGTAGACATTATCTTATAGCTGTGATTGTTTGTGAAGTCTAACAACTTGGAGCACTATAGAAATTATATAGAACAATACTATATCTAAGACAATGGCAAAATATTTGGATCAAAAGAGATAACAAAAGCAAGCAACATGTATTGATAGTAGGATGGGAAAGACCATTCCATGGATAGGTCAGAAGTGCCTTCACCTCAGTTAACACTCTCATGGGAATGGCAGGCCACAGGAAGGCACTTCATGCACGTTGAGGCCTCATGTCTGTGCAGAGGCTCAGGCCATATTTGTCATCTGTACTTATGTTAGAAATCAGTTCAGAAACAAGACATGGTGGAGACAAAGGAACGTAAGTTTCTTCTCTGTTTTAGCAGTTTACCTCAGGTGGAATCACAACTACTGAAATGCAGACTAACGTTACTGAATTTAAATTCTCCACTATGCATACGGAGAGGGGATACAAATCAGTGGCTATTCTAAATTAAAACTAGTCTTTACAGTAAGTTTTTTGGAGAATACAGATGAGAGAATATTATCACTTTTTCTTTCCACTAATAAATAATGTGTTGGATGTATATGAAACAACAATATACTTAAGGAACCAGATTTTGTGAGGAAAAAAAGAAAAAAGTAGGTGAAAAAGAAAGAAGGAAAGAAAGAAAGAAAGAAAGAAAGAAAGAAAGAAAGAAAGAAAGAAAGAAAGAAAGAAAGAAAGACCAGCAAGATAGCTCAGCCAACTAAGCGCCTGCTTAGGCAAGCTCAGGGACTAGGGTTTGATCCCGTGCACCACATGCCATGCTGTTCCCACCCCCAGGCATGCTGAGTCTGAGTGTTGTAAAGCATGCCTGAAATCCCAGCCCTGGGGAGGCTGAAAACAGGAGGATCACTATGAGTCTGAGCTGTGCAGTGAGACCCTGTACCAAATACATTAAAAGAAAAGAAAGAAAGAAAAAATAGGGAAAGCAAAACAGAAAAGTGAGTCTATCAAGCAAAAGATTAGTGATAGAAGAGGGCAATGAATTTACTTTCTTGTAATAATCCATAAATTATGTCAACATAAAAGGAATCCATCTATGGTGACAAAGGTTTAATGTTACCTTCAGAATGATATAAATATGAGACAAAATATGGCAAGAAATAACATCCACAGAAAAGCCACTTATGCATGAAATACGAAAAAGTAAAAAGTGGAGTTAAGCTTATAAAAGTGGTTGTATTAACCAGTTGTATAAACCAACTAAATTATTATGTGAAAATGTATGTTATGAGTCAATATGTTTAGTCTTTATAGTAAAAAATTATGTATTTCAGTGAGAGAACTTGTGTTTTTATAGGTTCATACAAATAATTATGTTTAAAAACCTAGGGATATATATGGGTGTT